CTTGACGGCAGGCGTTCGGCAGGGATGCCCACTGTCCCCTCTACTGTACGCCATTTGTGCGGAGTTGTTGTTGGACAACATCCAGGCGATTTGCCCAGGCATATTGGTTGTGCTTACGCCGATGGCACCGCGGTCGTGTCTACAAAATATTTGGGCGGACGCACCCAGACTGGCAGCCTTATTCGACGACTTCGCAGCAGCGTCTGGCTCCGATTCAACTTGCACAAGACGGTCGTCATTCCGTTGTTCGCTTCACCACTCCCGACGGTACGGGTCCACCTCGACGCACTAGTGCCAGGCTGGTCCACCACCCAATTAGCACATGCAGGGAAATACATGGGCTTCTACACCGGGCCTGGCAGCCGGGAGTTGCTCTGGAAGGGCCCCGAGGCGAAACTCCAGCAACGGGCCGCTATGTGGGCAAGCCACCCTCTTGGGCTTGATTGCGCAGCATTCGCATACAACACGTTTGCGATATCAGTACCCGGGTTCGTAGCGCAAGTCAGCGAACCGACGGAAACCATAGCCAAGGCGGAAGTGCAGTGCCGCAGACGAGCCGGCCCAGGCCCGGATAACTGGGCCACCCCAGAAGATTTTTCTGGTGGTTGCAACGGTCTTTCCTTTTCTCTTTTCCCAAGTGCTTCCCGACGGCTCCGATTCACGGCGCAGGCAGCACAACTACGGGTGCGATTGTGGGGCGCAGCCTGCAGCGACTACCCTGCATAACCCGGCGCCCCATTGGATTTTCGCCTAGCGGGGGACGGCGCGCACCCCCCGACGTTGGCCAGACCGCCCCCCCACGTTCTTAGCGGCACAAGCTACGGATGCACGTTCAATCGACGCGCCCGGTTCCTGCGATCGCCCTTTTGGGACCACCGGTCGCTTACAGGAGCGATCCATGTTGGACCAATGGTTTCGGCATTCGCACCACCTTTGCTTGGGCACGAATTTGTCGGACTTGATGGCACTTCGGGGGGCGCCATCCGACTTGCACGGGAGCGCGGCGCCAACCCGCACAACCCCGTAGAAAGAGAAGGACGGGGGCCGCATACGAGCTAGCTTCCAATCCACAGTGGACGCTCGACTGTTGCAGGCGCGCGCTCCGCCAGCTGAACACCGTGTCCGGCACAAACACCGACGCTGGCATTTCAATCCGCCCGACCACGCCCACATCGTCAGCTTATGTATTGCGTGGCAGCGCACGGAAAATTGGCATGGCCGGGCCGTCCTCCATCACTTCGGGTACAATCTGCAATGTTCAGTACCATGTGGGATCGGTGGACCACAGCCCGTCGCTTTCAACAACACCAGGGTGGACAATGTTTACTTTGCCGGGGGCCGCATACCCAGGACGCAATCGAGCACTACGCGAAGTGCCTTGTCGTGCAGCGACTTGCCGCGCATCTTCTGCACCTCGACTCGCGCCAGTTCGTGAACCTCCACTCGTTTCTTTTGGTTAATCCTTCGGCTACGAGTAAGGAGACGATTGCGACTATTGTCCTTATGATTTATGCGACGTATAGGTGCATTAACTACCACGGCACGCCCAGACCCCCTGCCGACGGAAACTCTGCACGACGCAATGACACAGTGGGTGCGTGAAGGGTTGAGAGGACACGGCCCGTCCAGTCGCGTCCTTACCCGACGCTAGATCCCGAACGTCTCCCATCCGTTGCCCCGGGTGCCGTGGTGCCATCTCCACTCACTCGCCCTATAGACCTCCGCCCTCCACCAACTCGGCCTTCGACCTCCAGCATCCGACATCCAGCGTTTCACACTCACCTCGACCTCCACCGATCGACTTCCATATTCCTCAAGACCAGCACCTCGACCTTCAGCATCCATCACCGAACTTTCCACCTGCACCTCCACCTATCGACCTCCAGCGCCTACCAGCGCAAAATTCCGACCGCTTGCATCCACCTCACCACCTCCGCCTCCACCGATCGACCTTGAGCGCAGCAGCCCCTGCCGCCAACAACGCCGCGCCATGACCACCACTCCCCCTTGCCGCCACCACCGTCGCCACAACCTCCACAACCCGCGCCCCGTCCATTTCCACAACACGGGCCGTGCACGCGCGCCTACACTCCAACTCCGACTCATGCCCCGACGCCTGCTCCGCCTCGGGCGCTGCTCCTTTTGGCGCTTGCTTTATGCCCGATGACAGCCCCAGCTGCAACAACGGCCGCTGACTCCAGCTCCCCACCGACTCCAGCTCACCAGCGATTGAATTCCATGCGCGACGTGCGCGCAGCGAGTTGCGTTGTTGGGCCCACGGCGCACCTGTACCACTACCCGTGCCCGTCACCTTACAGCTTCCGCCCTGGCACGAGGATAGCTACCTGAAATGCCTGACGCGGTTCGGACGGTCATGACCAGTCGTCGCACCAAGATGGACAGGGAGTTCTTGACATTGGTGTCGGGGTGCAACACCATAGTGGCGACGGTGTGAGCCACTCTCCCGCACGCCCCCTCCTTGGCGGGGCCTCCTCCTGTTCCTCCTCTCCTTTTGGTTGCGCTGTGCGTCTTGGGATTTTATATAAGTGGCCGCTGCGGCCATAGGAGTTTCCCGCACAGTGCCCTTGCCCCTTCCCCTCCCCCTGCCCATCGTTAGATATCTGACTGGCTCTGCAGTCCATCCTGGCTTGTGATCTAGGGCTTTCTGCGCGCCCTTCCAGATGCCAGACTCTGCATTTACCGGTCGTTCGGCTGGCGAGCTGGGGACGCCACGAGTTGCATTTACCGGGCGTTCGGCTGGCAAGCTGGGGGCGCCAAGAGCTGCAGTTACCGGTTGTTTTGCTAGGGAACCGAGGACACCAAATGTTGTTTTCTTCATACTTGCCTCTCTTCTTTTTTTTAGTCGCGCGCATGGCGACGCGCTACGACCTTTCTGCTTTCCTCTTGTAGCAGCGAGTTGCATCATACAGAGTGCGAGCATGGCCAAAGCCAAAAAAATACTCCGACCGGAAGAGCCCGCATGACAATTTGTTCGGCTAGTCAGGAAATAACCTTCATTGTCGTCCTCGCGATTGGTGAGGCGCCCTTATTGTCTTCTCTGCGTCATTCAATCCTGCCCTGGCGCGGGGCCCTCACCCGCTCCCCGCGTTGCCCTTGCCTCGCCGTCCTGCTGTTTGTTTCGCCACCCACCACCTCCGCAAGAGCGCGCGCGACGATTTTCCTCGACGCCGTCGCCGCCTCGGCCAGCGCGGGCGCATTCTCGAATGGCCGCGTCGCGGCCGTTGGGACAACCCCGCGGACCAGGCCGTTGGGGCAAGGGTTTCCCCCTGCGCCCGGCCGCCGTCATCGTCCTCACCTCCTGTTTCTCCTTTTCCTCTTCACTTGATTGGTCAGGCGAGTCGCCCTCTGAATAGCGCACAGGGAAGGGGCTCCCGCCTGAGACTTCCTCACAGCTCACTCACAGACGAGGTTCCCCGCTTGATAGTTCTTTATATTCAGGCTTCAGGAGCCCCATAGTGACGACAAGTACAGGGATGAGGATGGCTTGTTCGGATTAAACACGCGACGAGGGGGCCCCATAGGGAGGGGTTCCCGCCTGAGACTTCCTCGCATTTCACTCACAGACGAGGCTCCCCGCCGGATGATTCCCCAATATTCAGGCTCAGGAACCCAAAGAAATTACAAGGATGAGGATGGCCCGCTCAGATTAAAAACGTGACGAGCGGGCCCCATAGGGAGGGGGCTCCCGCTTGAAGGTTCCTCACATTTCACTCACAGAAGAGGCTCCCGCCTGATACTTCCCCCATATTCAGATTCAGGAGCCCCAAAGTGACGACAGTTGCAGGGGTGAGGATGACCCGCTCAGATTAAACATGACGAGCGGGCCCCATAGGGAGGGGGCTCCCACTTGAGACGTCCTCACAGCTTACTCACAGACGAGGCTCCCGCCATATACCTTCCCATGTTCAGGCTTCAGGAACCCAGAACTGATGACATTTACAGGGATGAGGATCGCCCGCTCGGATTAAAAAAAACATGGAGTGCGGGCCCCATAGGGAAAAGGGTTCCCGCCTGAGACTTCCTCGCAGTGCATTCACAGACGAGGCTTCCGCCTGATTCTCCCCCCACGTTCAAGCTAGCGAAGGAGTGGGTGAGTGAGTGAATGACTGAATGGCTGATGATGATGAGGATGATGCAGATGATGAGCGGGTGGGTGAGTGAGTGTGTGATCGAGTGGTGGTCAAGGTGATCATGATGGTCTGTGTGTGAGTGAATGTGAGTGTGAGTGAATGTGTGTGTGTGTGTTTCTTTGTGTTCCTGCGCGGGGTGTCTGGAGAAAACACGAACCCCACTTTGGACGTGGGCAAAAAATATTGCGGGGTGATGTAGATCGAATTTTCACGGTATCGAGCCCTTGCCCGCGATATCGAAATATCGAGATTTTGAGATATCGAGTCCCCGCCCCCGATATCGAGATATCGAGTCCCCGTCCGGCCTCGCCCCCGATATCGAGATGAGAGATCGAGATACCGAGATATCGAATCCCCGCCCAGCCACGCCCCTGGATATCGAGATATCAGAATATCGCGATATCGAGATACCGAGTCCGGGCGACCAAAAACTCTTTGGTTTAACGGGGCGCCTGGCCCCCACGCTGCCTAATTCGATAAAGCGCCGGAGAATGGGGATGACAATGAGGATCGGGATCAGAAGCATGATGATAAGGGTCGGGCCAGAAACCAAGCCAACACATCTGAAACACACACGGACACACACGCATGATAACGCGTGCAAGCAACCGTCATAGCCAATGTCCGAGAAGAACAAGGATTTTATCATCATACAAGGATAGGCTGCGAAAAACCGTGCACGAGCCCGGCTTGAATCAAAATCCGCAAGTTGGGTAATATTGGACGTCTCTCCATATTGTGGCCCATGCGGTTTTCCATGGCATTGGCAACATTGCTAACGGATTTTAGACATATGTTTAATACGAGTAGATTCGAATGGCAGTTACTTTCGGACAGAGACGCGGGGAGGTGCTAGGAAACATGCCGTGCTTCATGTACGTCATTGGTGCCCGCACCCTCCAGCTCAATGCAGCTGCGATGGGGTAAGACAGCACACGCAGTGGAGCATCTCGAACTTGATTTGATGCCGTGTTGCGAGGTATGGTATTTATTCGGTGTGCCAAGCCGAGGTAGCTATCGCAAGCCTATGTGATGTGTGCGGCGTCAACAGGTGTGAATACGTCGGGCCTTGTTGCTGCAATTGCTTACGCCTTAGTAAGTTCGCGAAGAGATCCCAAAGCAGATTGCTTAGGTATTTGGGAATTGCATTGGATGTGTTACGTATCGAAGCGGCCCCTGCTGATGTTTCCCCGTTCCGAAGCTCCCATACATTTTCGCTGAGGATTGTTGAATTGGACAAATACATGAGATTTCGCCAAACGTTTCCCAAGTGTGTTGTTGCGACGTATACTCTTTCATGCTTCCAATTGGAATTGGCAGATTGACCTTGGATGTTGCGTCCTTTGCAACTGCCATGTAAGCTTACGTAGTGTCGCCTTCCTCTGGGATGCGTTGTCGTATAATGTGTCGTTTTTGCCAGGCATGCTATTCGCCGGCATGGTCACCCTGATGGTGTCGGTGGTCCCTTGGGGCTCAAAAGTATTAGCGGCATTGCAGAAAAGGGAGGAAGGGCTCACATATTCAGGATGATTCGTTTCGCGGCGCTCGACAAGGACACATTGATTCTAGACGCTTCGCATATCCCCTTCAGCCCATCCAGAAGCGATGTCCAGGCGAGTTGAGGTGATCAGGGAAGTGCGGGAGCAAAGAGGGGGACGGCCGAACCGTGCGAAGGAGAGGGGTGGAGAAGGAGGAGGCTGGATGGATGGATGAGGGAGTTGGGAGAAGGAGGATGAATAGGATGAGGAGGAGGGGGAGGAGGAGGAGGAGGAGGAGGAGGAGGAGAAGAAGGAGGAGCCTCTTGGGATATCTCGTGGGCGCTTCTTGGTGGCCTCTTGGGTCCTTCTGGGGGTCTCTTGGCGATCCTGGGGGGCTCTTGGGCGTCTGGGGTGCCTCGGGGGGGCCGTTTGGGGTCGTCTTGGGGGTTTCTTGGGGGCCTCTTGGGGGCTTCTCGGGGCCATCTTGGGGCCATCTTGGGGCCTCTTGGGGCCTCCTGGGCGCTTCTTGGGGCCATCTTGGAGGACATCGATCAAACGAGAGGGGAGCTTCTTTTCGCCCTGCCCCCCAAGAGGCCAAAATGAGGCCAAAACCTTTTAGTAAAACCACTGATTTTGGCTTCCTCGCCGAGGCCGTTTTGGACGCTCCAATGGGTCGCGGCACCGCCCGTCCAGGTCTAGGTCCAGGGGAGGTGGTATGGGGGAGGGGTCAAGCTACCCACCCGCCCACCCGTCCGCAAGCCGTCTAGTTCACTCCCACCCGCCCTCCCTACACATAAGTAACACCAGAGCCTGAGCATGGTCAGCGGTAGTCTTTGGATGGACAGCTACTGGGAACCAAAGCCGACCCCAGGTGCGCGACGCTTGGGCGAGGTGCGCCACGCGTGCCAGGGGCACCACGCGCGCCACGCACCCCTGGGGCCCGAGCGTGCCAGGCACGTCTGGTGCGCCAGATGCGCCACGTGCTCCGAGTGCGCCAGGTGTGCCGCACACTCCAGCCGCGCCAGGTGCGCCGCGTTCGGGGCACGTGCAGAAGGCGTCAGGTGCACCTGCGCACGTGACAGCACACATCGGGGAACATGTCGGCCCCCACCGTCCTTGTCGAAAACCGATGCCCATCATTGTGTCTGGTGGGCCTGCGCACTTCAGGCCACCACCACCCCCGCCGTCCCTGTCAAAAACCACTTGACAGTGATCGCGGGATGGCCGTGCATGATCCAGATTTAGCCGCGAGGTGCATGGTGTGTTGTTTTTGTTTGTCAGGGATGGTAGCCCTGCGCGCAGCAGGGAATATGCTGACACCACCGCCGTTCTTGTCAAAAACAAGCAAAGTGTTCGCGGGCCTCACGAACATGACTCAAGAATTTGCCCCAAAGTGTACTTTGCATTCTTTTTTGAAAGGGATGGTGGCGGGGGCTGGCCGCGCATGCTCCAAAGAGGCAGAGTGCGGTTTGTTCCCCAAACAGAGCTTGCCTCTGTAGGTGTCCTAGCGGATTCATTCCCCAATCAGAGCTTGCCTCTGTAGGGGTCCTAGCGGATTTAAGGGTAGGTGAGGTGTGCCGCCGATTCGGTGGCCCGGCCCGGGTGCCCGGGTGCCAGGGTGCCCGGGTTCGCCGCCGATTCGGTGGCCGGGCCCGGGTGCCAGGGTGCCCGGGTGCCCGGGTGCCCGGGTTCGCCGCCGATTCGGTGGCCGGGCCCGGGTGCCCCGATGCCCGGGTGCCCGGGTGCCCGGGTGACGGGTGCCCGGTGCCTGGGGGTGCCCGGGTGCCGGGTGCCCGGTGCCCTGTAGCCCTATAGTTTTATAGCCCTATATCCTATCGCCCTATAGCCCTAACCCAGTTAGCCATATAGCCATATAGCCATATAGCCCATATAGCGCCCAAGAGCCCATATAGCCCTGTAGCCCTATAGCCCTACAGCCCTAAAAAGATTATGATTGGGCTTCTTCTCTGGTATTAGATGGTTAGGTGAGGTATGGCGCCGATTTCGGCGGCACGCCCAGGTGCCTGGGTGCCTGGTTTATAGCCCTATAGCCTTATAGCCAGCCTTATAGTCCTATAGCCCTATAGCCCTATAACCCTAATAGCTCTAGCCAAATAGCCCCATAGCCCTATGGCCTTATAGCCCTATAGCCCTATAGCCCTATAGCCCTGTAGCCCTATAGCCCTATAGCCCTGTAGCCCTATAGCCCCATATAATAGCCTTATAGCCCTATAGCCCCAAAGCCCTAAAGCACTACAAAGATTATGATTGGCTTTTTTCTCCGGTATCGTATTGTTGTTTGACAGGGATGGTGGGGGGCGAATCCGCATGGTGTCGGCATGGTGTCGGCATGGTTTCGGGTTGGCCCCCGGTCGCCTGGGGGAGGGGGTGTATATTCATAAGGAACAGTGGTAAACCCCTTCTGGAAGGGGAAGAAGGGCGTTGGAAGAGGAGCCGCCCTAGACCACCTACGCCCAGAGGGCAGGTGGGAATTCGTCTATCTTCTATTTCTTGTGAAGTCACGGCATGGGGCGGTTCACGAGAGGACGGTAAGCAAGGTAGACAAAGGTCCAGGAAACAGAGGATTCAGTGGTCTTTCCGTCCGCGCTGGTATTACAGTCGCGAGGCACTCGACGTCATTTTGAATGGCAGCACGCCATTACTAGGCGGGCGCCGAGTTACCGACGTTCCCAGACGAGGCGTTCACTCTCTCAGGACTGTCTGCATTTCTCATGGGCTTTCCTCCCGCTGCTCCGCGGTGTTTCGTTGCGCCCCTCGAACTGCGCGATTCGATGATGGATTCGTTTAGGGCCCGTGCCACGTTTCGATGAGGCGGCCAGGAAGTGCACTCCACCGTGACACCTCCCAGGCACCGTCTCTGAAGTTCTCTGGGATTTGTCTACACTCTTGAACATTCCCGCTGGGACTCTTAAGTCCAGTCTGCTAGCGGCATCTCTCTATGAACTGCACTCCTAGTACGTGCGCGCCTGTGTGATGTTCAGAAACAGAATCAAGCAACGTGTGTGTATATGTATTTGTGTGTGTGTGTGTTGTCATCCCCTTCCCTGGGCCTGTGCTGCAGAGGGCGACCTTGTGACCCTCTGCCGATTATCCTCCTCAGCCGCTCTCCCCCTCCTGGGCGCCTGCCCGTCGGCGGCACAGCGAGGCCTCCGGCGGCAGCGGATCCAGCCTTCGCTGACCGCTTGCTGAGGCCCCCCCCTTTGCGCCAAAAGTGCGCAGCCAGGGCTCCTAGCGACGCTGGAAAAGGCGGTCGGCTGCGGGGACGCCGTAGCGTTAGTTGCACTTGTTGACGCGGCGCGCGTGGACGCCTTCTGCTCCATGTGGTATGCCGCGTTTGCCGCCTGCGCCAGCCATCGCGTGAGGTCGCGGCGTCCTCCTGCGTAGGATGCCTTTTCAAGTGGTCGCCCAGGTGCAAGTGGCAAGGCTCGGCGGGCAAGTGCTAATCTGAGACCGGGCGTTTCGTAATGCGGGAGGCGATACGTGAGGGGGGATCGAGGGTTGCATGCAAGGGGCCCTAAGTCAGGAGGGAAAAAACACAGACAAGTAATCGTCGATTCCCAGGAAAACATGCGAACATATAGGAAGTGGGGGGAAGACGAACATCCAAAACATATGGACAAGTATTGGAATATCTGCTATGTGTGTCTGTTTATTTGTGTATCCCTGGGCCCCTTTCCTGAGGGGGCCGCCTAGGGCCCCGAAGGTGCACGAAATGAGCATCCTGCTTCACCCTCTCGCCTACTGCCTCCCGATGAAGAACCGACGCCCGAGAGTGTGAGTTTCAGGGCAACGATAGGGGGGGATAGGCATTGGGGGGATGCATCGACCCTCAATCGCCCATTGATCGCCGATAGGGACCCAATAGCCCCACCCCGCCCAGGAAGGTGCGGATTCGCTATCGGGGGCCTATCGCCGATCTATCGGCGATGTATCACCGATTCCACGTCGATGCATCCCCCCTATGCATATCCCCCCCCTATCGTTGCCCCTCAGAGTTGCAGTCTTGCAGTCTTAGGCTGCATGGCGGTAGCTTCAGTCGTAGCGCCGCTCGGGCATCTTGCCATCAGCGCAAAAGTTTGCGTAGCGAGGAAATCGTTGTTGTGGTGCTTCTGTCCTGTCCTTCGAGCGTCCACTTGATCCAACAGTCCGCAGCGCGTTGTAGCCACTACGAGTTGGCCAATGTTGATTGCGCACACGCGTGGCTCCATGAGCGCACATGCACAATCCAAGTACATGGTGTTCTGCATGTCACGCAGTTGCCTGCACACGTCATTGCGCATTCTCGTGGTGCACGCAGCATGTGAGTAGGGCAGCATGGTGCACGCAATTCCACGGGCAACGTACACACGAACACTTGCACATAACGGGCGTGCAATGTAATTAATTGGCGCCGCGCAATTTCGTCTTACAAGCTTACAATCGTCTGAGCGCCGCGCACAATCGTCTTAACATATTGCAGCTCATCGAAGGAATCGCAGGGCTGAAGTCCCAGGTAGCGTGTTTTGGCACGAATTAAGATTGTCCGGGCGCAAACACTACAATGAATCACGGCATCGGAGTCACAGGAGGGATATTTTTGCAGGAATTCGGATTATCAGGACGCAGTGGTCACGTGGATTCGCGGCGTTGAAGACTCAGGAATGGTGTTCCGGCAGCATGGAGGATTTGTCTTACGGTTGTCTTTCTATGGGGCACTTCCCGCAATGATGACAAATTCTTGCAGGGACTTGTGAAGAGGGAATTTGGAAGGAGGGAGTATTGGAACATCGTTGGTGTGCCTTGCGATTCCGCTGGTCCTCCTCTTGCCTCTTCTGCCTGCCTCTTACTGCCTCCTCCTCCTCCTCCTCCTCATCATCATCATCATCATCATCATCATCATCATCATCATCCTGCCTCCTCTGCCTGCCTTCTCATCCTCCTCTTCCTCCTCCCTCATCCTCTTGCCTCCTCCTCCTCCTACCTCCTCATGCATTGTCCTGCTGCCTCCTCCTCCTCCTCCTGGTCCTGCCTCCCCCTTCGTCTTCCTCCCTCCTCCTCCTCCTCCCTGTCCTCCTCCTCCTCCTTCTCTTGCTCCTTGTGGTACGGGCGCTCCTCTACCTCCTCGTTCTCTATCTCTCGCTTCCTCCTAATCACGCTCTCCATCCTCCTCTTCCTCTTCCTCCTCCTCCTCCTCCTCCTCTTCCTCCTCCTCCTCCTCCTCCTTCTCCTCATTCTCCTCCTCCTCCTTCCGCAGCCTCCTGCCTCCTCCTGGGGCCTCTTGCCTCCTCCTGGAGCTTTTTGCTGCCTCCTGGATCACCCTGGAGCCTCCTGAGGCCTCCCCCGACCTCCTCGTGGCCTCCTGGGGCACTCCTGGGACTTCCTGAGGCCTCCCGTTGCCTCTGAGGCCTCCTGCGGCTTCCTGGTGGCCCCGGGGCCTTCGAAGATTTCCCCGTGCCCCTAGGGCTTCCTGGAGCCTCCTGAAGTTTCCTGCGGTTTCTGGAAGCTTCCTGGGGCTTCCTGTGGTTTGCCTTGGGGCTACCGTTCGAGACTTCCCCGCAGCTCGCTGGCAGACGTGGCCCCCGCTCGAGGCATCCTGGCAATCTGCTCAGAAGCTCAAGCCGTGGCGAAGCGTCCTGGCGTGTCTATAGCCCTACCAGACAATGTTCGAACACTTCTTTCTGGGACCGTCATGTTTTCACACATCGGGTTTATGTTCTAAGAACGTTGTTTTGTTATTTAGAACATTTTGGGGTTCTAAGAACATTTCGTGGTAGAACTAGAGGAATGCTGGGACGGTCGGTCCCTGCTCAAGAAACGAGGCTCCTGCTCGAGAGCTCTCGATATTCAAGCTCTCATGTGTCACCTGCCTCCTTGCTGCTCCTCCCTCCCTCCTTGTCCTGCCAATGATCTACACGCCTGCTGCGTTTCACTTCCATCCCGTTTCACATTGCGGCGCCACGGCGCCAATCTGCCGGGCCCACGCCGGTCCTGTTTATGGTAAGCCATTGCCACTGCCGTTGCCATGTGTCACCAAGCCTTTGTTTTGACAGGGTGCGCCGATGGCCGCCTCAGATTGACAACGTGAGTCCAGGGCCCTACAGGGAGGGGGCTCCCGCTTGATACTTCCTCTCGGCTCGTTCACAGGCGAGCGCTCGAGACATCCTCACACGAGGCCCAGGGACAAGACTCCCGACCGACATCTCTCCCAGAGTCAAGCTCCCAGGTGTCACCAAACCTGTTTTTAACAGGGTGCGCCGATGGCCGCCTCGGACTAGTAACATGAAGCGGTGGTCCCAAAGGAAGGGGCCGCCAGATCGACACTTCTTTGCAATTGACTTACAGACGAGGTTCTCGCTCGAGCCTTCCTGAAGATAAGTGTGTGTGTGTGTGTGTCTGTGTGTGTGTGCGTGTGCATGTGTTTGGTTACTGGAGTGTTTGAGTGAATGCGTGAGTGTGTGAGTGAGGGCGCGATTCTGTGAGACTCTGTCGGGCATGCGGTGCTCGTGTTCGAATACTAGGACGCCAGGGGTACCAGTAGTACCAAAGACCAGTTATGCCAGGACGCCAACATGATGCGACCGCAAAATTAGTCCCAGGAGTTGAGTTCTGCGAGCAAGACGGGCCCGACGTGGATTACACTTTGACATAACCGTTCAAAACCAATCCGAGGAGCTGAGTTCTGGGAGCACGAAAAGCCCGTAGTGGATTACAATTGGCTCTGGACATGCAGCAAATTCAAGCCTGTGAGTGAGTTCTGGGAGCTCGAAGAGCACGAAGTGTTTTACAGCTGGCCTCGGGCGTTCGCAATCAGCAATGGGGATCCAGTTCTGGCAGTTCGACGATCACAGCACCCAGTATGGTTGGCGGCCTCGGATTATTATCACGAGGCTCGGGCCCTGTAGGGAAGAAGCTCCTGCCGGAGAAACCCTCGCGATTCAGTCACAGACGAGGCCCCCACTCGAGACTTCCCTAACGCGTGCGAGCGAGCGCGAAATCAGCCCGAGGAGTGAGTGGAGCCCCTGGAGCACGGAGAGCCCGACGTGGCTGACAGTGGGCTCAGACCATGAAAAGTAATTCCCAGGACTTGACGTCTGGGATCAGTATCGTTCATCCGATCCCCATCCCCATCCCCTTCGAGGCCCCCACTAAATTACCACCCCAGTTGGGGCTACACCCCTCGGAACCCGAAGTGAACGGCCTATATTCCCATCTAGCGGGGTAAATCGGCCAGTTGGGCCCAGGCCACGCCGCTGGGGATGGGGATCGGTTCAGCGATACCCATCGGAGCTCGGAGAGACCGACGTGGCGAGTACAGTTGGCTCTGGACATGCCGAATCAAGCCTGGGGTTTGGATTCTGGGAGGTCGAGAAGCACGGAGTGGCTTACAGCTGGCTCGGGACGCTCGAAATCAGCACCTGGGATGGAGGTCGGGCAATTCGATTATCACACAGCCAAGTGTTTTACATGTACACCGATGGCAATGGCCCTCCCGGATTAGTGCCATTCAGTTCGGCCCCATAGGGACGGGGTTCGCGCCTGAGGCACCCTCGCAATTTAGTCACAAACGAAGCCCCAGCTCGAAGATTCTTCAACACGAGGGTCTGAGTGCATGAGTCTGTGATTGCATAAGCGCGTAAGTGTACGAGTGCGCGTGACTGAGGGTATTGATGATATTGGTGATGAATATGCGACTGTGTAGATGTGAAGATGATTGCGATCGTGAGCATGGGAATTCTATTTTCGAGCGTGTGAGAGGTGATGCTGATGGTGGTGATACTGACGATGCGGGCAGCACGTGGGACTAATTGTGACGAGTGTGGGAAGACGCTAGAAGGGGGGAGTGAGGTGTTCTTGCGCGGGGGGGCAGAGAAAACAAGAGCTCGATTGAGGACGGGGTTGGAAGCATAGGTTGTTGATTGATGTTGGACCGTCCTAGGCCCTCCAATGCCATCTCGGAGGTCGTCTCAAGGCACCGTGGGAGCCATGTTTGCCCAAGAGCTTCCCAAGGACATGCTTGAACAGCCAAAACCATTCAGCAGCTGTGTTGGTGTTTCAAAGATTCTGGCTCTGGGCCCATCTTGGGGCTCTCTTTGGCAACACTGGAGACAGATTGAGGACCCAGAGGCCGATCGGAAGCGAAACGGCGAGACGGCGAAGAGCATTGATGTCCTTTGGGGAATTCGAAGGGTTTGAGCATCT